AGCCGGCGGGGGTCGCGGAGGAGCTCGGCAGCGGGGGGCCCTGTTGGCTGCATCTAGAGGAGGTGCCGGGGCCCGGGCCGCTCGGGGGAGGGGGACCCCTGCGCTCCCCTTCCTCATACTCCTCAGACGAGCTGTCCCCGGGCGAGCCTCTGACTTCTCCACCCTGGGCCCCCCTGGGCGCCCCCGAGCGGCCGGAGCATCTTCTAAACCGGGTTCTGGAGCGGCTGGCCGGAGGGGCTACCAGGGACAGCGCCGCTTCAGGTAAGGAATCGGCCGGCTCATCCATCCTGGAGTAGGGGGGTGTCACCTGGTTCCTCTTCCTTGCCCTTGGACAGTAGGGGTGGCGCTATGCCGGAGCCTCGGTGTGGGGTTGAGTGGTCAGCTGAAGTGAGGCAGGGGCCTATGGGAGGAACAGACCCTTCTGTAGTGGAGAAGTGGCAATGCCACCTTCCTCCCTGTAGCAGCCTCATCCATGGCTGGAGAAGAAGCTGAACCCCTTTCTCTCCTTAAGCCACCCTTCCTCTCCCCTGGACATTTTATCCAGATCCTCACGGGGCCCTGATGTTGACTACCTCCTTCTGTGGCCCCAAATTAGGGCCTGACACACTAAGATGGAAGCTGCCCAGACCAGTCAGTGCAGGCCCCCTAGAGGTGGCCAAGCCCCCAAAGACCTTCCAAGAGTCCCTGATTCTGTTTAGAAGCCCCAGAGCAGAGGGCTGGCCCACTCAGTGGGACAGTACCAGACAGGCACAGAGCCCAAGTTGCCTTTTGGGCTTGGGCAAAGGGATGCATTGTCTTTAGCAGCTTGTGGGGAGGGAAGCCTTCTAACTGGGGGCTGACTCAGAAGGTACTGGTTGGGGGACAGGTGGCTGGGCAGACATCAGGGCCCTGCAGCATCCAGGGGGGTCTGAAACTCCGACTCCCGCCCTTCCGGCAACAGGCCTCAGCACACGGCCTCTTTAAAAACTAACCACACCCTGAGAGGCTTATTCCCTAAACGATGATGCTACTTCACCACTCCCCACTAGAACCCCTACTAAGGGGATTTTGAGGAAACTGAGGCCCCAGATTGCTGCTTAGTGGCTGAGGTAGAAGACCCGCGAATCTTTAGGGCTACCTCTCAGCATTTCATCAAGCCCAGCAGGTTCTGAGAACTGGGAGCCCCAGTTGAGGGCCTAAACACAGGGGTTTCATAGTTTGCTCTCAGACCTTTGCAGGAAGCCCTAATCCAGGTGTGTGGAATGGAGTTCCACTCCCCTAGATTTTTCTCGAGACTCAAGTCCTCTCCTTGGCTCAGGCTGTCATTGCCCTGGGGAGCTGACACCTTTTGGATTTAATTAGAAAAATATCAGACACATACAGCTCTCCTAACCATAACTTCCCGCCTACACCACACACCCTGTGTCTCTATGACACATTCCCTGGGGAGGCTGTACATTGGACTAGAGCCTGCCTTGGAAGAGACAGACAGACACCAAACTGGAGCCCCCATAGCAACATTTCTCCTACTCTGCCCCATGTTCCTCTTCCTTTGCTCTGTTTAGCTCTCCTGTGAAATAAAGAGTAGAAGGATGCTGGGCATCCCTTGTCCTTGTCTCCATCCCTGGAGCTGGGGGTCAGGGCTAGGGGGCTCTCAGACTCGCTTAAGGAACACAGCCTCTAGCTGAGCAGAGAGGGAAAGGGAGAAACTGTCTTTCCCTTCCACAGGGGTCTGGTGCCATGGGTGCTGCTCAGTCTCTCCTGGGGAAGGACTCCTGAACTGATTGTCACTGTATTATCCAGACTGGCACGCTGGAGCCCCAGAGTAACTGGTTCAGGGAACCCCAAATCAGTCCCAGAGTGAATGAGAATCAGCTGAACCTGCCACTCTGACATTCTCCAATATAACCAATGCTCTCAAGCCATCTCGATTCCTTCCCAGGGCATGTGGGAGGAGGGGACTTACAGCAGGTACCCTAAACTGGCCAAAGTCTCTCAAACGTCTGAGCAGCCCCATCTGACCACTGTACTCTGCTCTGACACTCTGCTTGCTTCAGGCCTATTGAGAAAAGAACAAAGACTCAGGAGTCTGGGTTCTCACTCCAGCTCCAGGCAAGTCCTTCCCAGCTCTGGGCTTTGGTTTCTCATTTGTGAAATTACATAGTTGAAGTTGAGGATCTTCTGTTGATTCTCCCCCTACACTTTCATGGCTAGAGTTGGAAGCCAGAGGGTGGTGACCCAAGGGCCAACAGAAGCCTTGGTTTTGTCCCGGGGCAGTGCTTGGGGACCTGGCCCTAACCTGTCCTGGTGAGAACACCTGGCTCCCTCCCCACACGCTACCTGTCTGTGTGTGCCAGGCTGCCCTGCCCCACCCCAGGGCTGGCTACAAGTCAGGGCGACCTTGTACCTGGCTGACTGGCTGAGCCAGGCCTAGGTGGGGGTGTGGAGAGGGAAAGGGTGGTGTGAGCAGCCACTCCCCTCCGCCCTTCCACCATTAACTCTTCAATTCCTGGGTATCCAGAGGACACAGGGTTTCTATTTAAAGACTTTAGGATCAAAGAGATGACAGTAGCTCCCTCTCCGTTTTAATGGGGCTGGTTCTCACCTGTCTATTTGGAACTCAAAGCTGTTAGCTAGGGCGTGGGGAGGGGAAGACAGACACACAAGCACACAACACTGACCCTAACCTCTGTGCTTGGAAGTTCTCTTTGTCTAGAGACCCTTCTGTGGGCTACGTCTTTTATTTTCCGGGCAGATCTCAAGCTTAGTATATTATCTGACCAGCTTCCCACACACACTGGAGACCAGTGGGCGTGGCCATCGAAGGGCGCCCCCTCCTTCCCTCCAGCTGCCTTGGCAGCTGCCAACCCCACCCCCGCAGCGGCTGCCCTGAACCTTCATGTGTGTGTGTGCATGTGTGTATATGTGCACATGTGCAGAGCATGACGGGGCAGGTGGCTGGGGCTCCAGCCTGGCTAAAGAGAATTTGCCCTTGGAAGCAAGAAAAGGGGGTGGTGAGTGTCCCATGGGGTCCTGGAAGTGCTCTCCTGACATCAGTGGTGACAATTGATCTCTACAGATATCCTGCTGGATGACATCGTTCTCACCCATTCTCTCTTCCTCCCTACGGAGAAATTTCTGCAGGAGCTACACCAGTAATATCCTTTTGTGGAGCTTGCAAAAGGGGAGGTTGGGAGGGAGCCACTCCCCCAACTCCACATGTGATGTGAGGGTCCAGGCTCTTCCCTAGAAAACACACTGGGTTCCATTCCAGGTTTTCCACTCAGCAACTGCGTGACTTGGGGCAGGTCACCTAACCTCCTGGAGCCTCAGTTTCCTCTTCTGTAAAATGGGGATAAATAGCACCTGCCCTCCCTCCCTATGGGGCTGCCGTGGAGACCATTCTGATAGCACTTGTGGGAGTGTTTTGGAGACTGCAGAGCCCTGTACCAGTGTAAGGTGTTATTATTCTATTAAGAGTGCCTCTCTCCCCACTGAATTATTGCTCTAAACATCTGGTTGCCCAGCAAGTTATTACAGGGTCTGATGTAAACATCAGGTCACGGCCACCCTGTGGTAGGGTCTACTAGAGACAAGTCGCTGGCTGGGCTATTCATAGGGTCTCATGGAAGCATAGGGCCTCTCGCTGAGTTATTCTAGGACCAAACTGTGAATGTCAGGCCAGTGAGAAGAATATCATAGCCTCTCTTCGAAATACCAGGCCTTACACTAACGTATGGTTAGGTTGTGGTCAGCACCACTGGCCTTTATCAGCCTGCTGTGGGCTGATCCGAGGTTGGGTGGGACCAGGTAGCTTCTAGTGAATTTCCTCAAGTGAAATTCAAACAAACAGGAGCCGGATGTGGCCAAGTGAGTGCCATCCCTACTCTCGGGCATGGGAGGATCTTGGCTCCAACGACCTTTGGATCTCCTTTCTCCCTGGCCCAAACCTAGAGAATTTTGAAGGGTGGCCTTGCCTCCCTTTGACTCCTGTATCCCTTCCCAGTCTCCTCAGGTCTGCCTGCCCAGGGTTTTTTCTTAACTTAGGGGTCAGCTTTGTTTGGGCAGGAGGCATGGAGGGCCCTGAGGGGCTGGGCCGGAAGCAGGCCTGTCTAGCCATGCTCCTTCATTTCTTGGACACCTACCAGGGGCTGCTACAGGAGGAAGAGGGGGCCGGCCGCATCATCAAGGTGGGCCTGGGATGAGAAGGTGGGTGAGCAGGCTGTCTGCTCTGGAAGGGGGCCCCTTGGAAGGAGCCATACTTCTCAAGCTGGGTACCTGGAAGGAAAAGATGCCAGCCGGCCTTAGCTTATATGGTTCTTCTATGCTTGAAGGCATGGAGACCCTGCCTTGCCTTTGCAGAGCCTCATGCCTTGGATGAGACACACGCCCTCACCTTCTCTCTTCTTCTCTCCGCAGGGTCTGTACCTGCTGATTATGAAGGATGAGTCCCTTTACCAGGACCTCCGAGAGGACACACTGAGGCTGCACCAGCTTGTGGAAACAGTGGAGCTAAAGTGAGGGGCATGGGC